GTAAAATATATAAACAGAACTAACAATAATTATTGTACATATATTTAACAATAGAGTATCTTTTGAGTTGAAATTGATATTTGATGTTAATTACAACTGATATTGCAAGCATAGTATGTCATAAAAATCCAGTTTTGTTCAAAATCAGCTCACAACATGCATATGTATTAGAAAAATTTTCCAACCCATTTCATAAACCTATTTGATACTACATTATACCATTACGAAGTGAGCCAAGCCATTCATGCTTGCAAGCAATAATTATTATTAACATGTACATTAAAAATGCTGGAAAGTATACACATACTAATATTTGGTTTTGACATTGAAATCAAGGTCATACCTCTGTAGACAAGGCTTTGAGTTAGTAGGAAATAGAGAAAGAGTGTGTCAAAGCAATGGACAATGGTCTGGCCAGCTACCTATCTGCAGGAGACTGAGTAAGACAGTTGTGTCAGTCACATAATTACATTAAATCCTGTTTATAGTTGACTGTGGTGGTTTACTAAACCCTCTCCATGGGGGGGTATTGCTAACTGGTACTGATGCTGGCTCAAGAGCATCTTATATTCATGCAATGAAGGGCTTGTGCTACAAGGACCACAGAGACAAATGTGTCAAGCTAATGGTCAATGGTCTGGTCAGGATCCAACTTGCATTCCAAGAGGTGGGATATGATCGTTATTATGAGAGTGTCTGTAATATTCACAATGAAGTGCTGTAATTAACAAAGCATGTTACTTGTGTGACTTAAATATATAAATCAGTTGTTATGGTCGAATTTTAATATTGTTTGTCACACCTTAAAACAATGTGTCAGGTATTGCTTAGCAACAAATTGAAAGGGTGTGTTGCTAAGCAATGAAGGACACAACAAATTGAACAATAATGCACCCTTTCATTAACAGCTGTGGATTGCAGAGGATTAAATAATCCACAAAATGGAGCTGTTCAATTCTTTTCCACACAGCAAGGAGCAACTGCTACATACAACTGTAATCCTGGCTTTGTCTTGGTTGGTAACGAGCAAAGAAGATGTCAAGCAAATGGACAGTGGTCAGGAAGAGATCCAATCTGCAGGAAAAGAAGTATAAAACATAACAGCATTTGATTACATATTAATGTGTGTGGGAGGTGCACTAGATCTGGGAAGTGGTCCCATTCAGAGCCAAACTGTGTGCCTGATGCATCTTGTGGAGCACTTGGAGAAATACTACTAAACTACTTAATGATATATGTACATGAATTTTTCCATTAATAATACTGATAATAAATAATTTTGTTTTTCATATGTTAAGTAATTCTTGTAAAATTAATTTGATTTGAAATTAATTTTTTCATTACCGCTAAAAATAAAATTACATCTCATTCATTATTTTAATTTGTAAAGTTAGACCAACATAATTTCCTACCATGCATAAACAATAAGAGCTAATCATATAAGGTAAATTTTTAAATGGCACATATACATGTATAGTGATGAATATAGATAGTAGCACTAAATGTAAAATTTGCATTTTTAGCCTATTTTGAAAGTGTGCCCACTATATTATAGTCCACTTTATGGATATCAGTCCAAAGGAGAGGTAATCTAAGTCATTAATGAGACACAAGTTATTATAAAATGGGTGGAATCTTAAAAATAAAACTTAATGCTACATATAAGCCATTACCTATATAACAGAACTACTTACACTGTGCATGATTTTAGAATATAAATCCACCCACGAACAGAAGGTAACAAACATGTACACAACAATTACATACATGTACATTGACTAATGCAGTGGGTGGAATTGTGTGTACTAGCTTTAGATGTTTTGCTACAAAACACTACAAAAACAATCTTTAGACTATCAGTCAACAAATAACAGCAGCTATCATAAGAAATGCTAGTTGCATGGTCTATGCCACAGGTGTAGAAGGGTGTTTGTCAATCATTATATAACCAAAGGCGTTGTTGATTCTGAATGTAATGACAAAGACCAAATACAAGGGTTATTATTCTTATAACGGACACTATCTAGTAGCAAAAGTACAATTGTTGACTCTAGCTCATTGTATAGGTAATGGCCTGCAATCAGAGTCAGACTAAATACCATAAATAGTTTTTAAAGTATCAAAATGCTATATAAAGCCTCGAGCATGCTTTGTCACCTTCACTTGAACGATAAAGAAGCAATCATGAGAGCCTTATCTGTTCTACTCATTATAGCAACTGTCATCTTGGTAGCTGCAGCCACTCGTTCAGGTAGTGGATACAGGTCAGGCGAATACAGGTCAGGCGGGTACAGGTCAGGCAGATACAAGTCAGATGGATACAGGTCAGGTGGATACAGGTCAGGTGGATACAGGTCAGGTGGATACAGGTCAGGTGGATACAGGTCAGGTGGATACAGGTCAGGCGGATACAGGTCAGGTGGATACCGTACTGGAGGATATAGGACAGGTGGATATGACTATGGATATGGTGGATGTAAGTATATCAAAGTTACTGCCATAATGATTATCATTTCAATGATAGACAAAAAAGTTCAATGCCCTAAACTCAGTGATCCTG